CGTTGGCCCATGGTCGCATAGGATAGTCAATGGGTTGTATAGGGAATGAAACCGTTCTCTTGCTCAGTGTAGGAAAAATGCCCCCGGGACGAAATGAATAAAGAACATGTCTGTGCTACCCTGCATGCTGCGTAGGTCAGACATGTTGCTTTCGACTGTTGCACCCTCTAAGTAATGTAATATTTGAAGCCTATCTCATAGCATCCGTGCTGTAATGCACTTTCAGACAGTACGAATTTTCCTAAATCTGCAGCGGATTTTACTATATACATAATAAACTGGGTACACCATATTTCACAGTGTTCGATTCACAAGTATCTCGTACTAATTTATGCATTTGGAATTCACGTTCATCAAACTACAGAAAGAGTTCGCTGGTCTTAGTGGTCAGATAAACAACCTATTGTTAAGCTGTAGGGCCAGATGGTCATTGGCTTCGGCTAAAATCAAGTACTTTGGTCTAGGCTTTGTTTCTCAGTTCGCTAGGGACGGTAAGTGTGGCAAACTTGGTGACCTTTGCATGGGTGAACACTGCATGTGTCTACATTTTCGGCGTATTTGTACCCAACAAGTGATACCCACATTGTGGATGCAGAAGACTCGTGTTCGGCTACCCTATGCTTGCTTAGGATTAAACTTGTTAGGAACATAACAACGTGATCGAAAACGTGTTTTGTTTGGTGTCTAACCATCGTTTTCATGAATACGCTTGAGTGTGAAAGCTCCGGTCTCTTTTTATCTGATGTTCTTTCAAATTTGAATGGAATTAAGTCCAGGGAATTCTTGCTACTCCTGATTTGAGTAAAGCAAACAGTGCGTCACTGCTTTGCTTAAAAGCCCATTCACTCTACTGAAGCATACAGGTATCTGAGGAAGAATTCTTAGTGTAGATTCGATGTTCAGCTTTAGGTATCAACCGGTCGCAAATTTGGACGGGTGTAAGAAGCCTGTTGACGAATAGGATGGTGGAACTCGTAATATCAAACTTTAAGACGACTTGGGACATGTTTCGTTCTCCTACCTGTAATTGGGAACAACCTGCACAAGTTGGATGATGCCAGTTGGAGAAGCGTAAGCAAACTAATCCTAAAATGCATAATCCACCAGGTACCCTTTGTATGAAGCCATTATAGTTTCGCATCTACCTGATTTCTGCTACTTAGCATTATCTCGTAAGATGACTAGTTGTCAGCGGTTATGTTGTGTGCATTTTCACTTCTGTTCCGATGCGTACCCAAGTCAAATGTAAATATATATATATATATATATGAGAATAAATGTGTTGAAAATTTAATCATACAACAGCTGGACACAAGAAGAATAAGGCCAACAACTTGAAGCCGATGTAATAGTTTAGATGAATATCGCTACTAAAGTTAGTTTACTTTTACAATGAATTAGCACGTAAACATTTTTTTAAAGTTTACGACTTTAGTACTCACATTAAGGTATAGCAGTTAGGACATTGATTTTTATGTTAGTAAGGTCGTAACCAGTGCCTGTGTTTTGCTTTTCCAAGTCATCTTTTGTTAACCAGTTGTTGTCCGCTTTATCCGACTCGAAACGTAAGATAAATTCCGCTTTCATGTATTCTCTGTGTGGACCGTTTACAACGCAAGTAAATTTCTTGCAGCCCGATAATTTCTCAGCACCCGCCATATTGTCATACTAGGTAATAAAAGAGAGCAAGTGACGGAAATACAATATTTTCATTAGCACAGTATATTCATAATAAATTGCTTGTTTGCCAGTTTTTGGTCTATGTGTCATAGATCTGTAAAAAATTGCCAGTTTTGTTACAGTTTATTGCTTTTGTCTAAAATATTCCTGGGCCAATAAAAGCATGTGATCTTGCACCTGTGTTAAAGCCCAGGGCAAACGAAGTCGCATATGCTGCGTCTGTTCAACGTATGTCACCGCAATGATCAAACGCCAATCAAACTACCCTATCCTGTCAACGATTTAAAGAAAAACGTCAAAGCTTTTAAATTAAACTAGTCGATACGCCTACGGCCCACAGTGATTATAACTTGTCAAAGGGAAACCTGTGGGTTGTACGAAATTGGTTTTGTTTGCTGGACAATGCTCAAGGCATGCCACATTTTCGTCCAATTTGTAGAAATTAAACCAAGGCTATACACAATAGAAAGATCGCAATTAAACTAGAAGGTTGACTACCTTGCAAATGGTGTGTAGGTATTCGAGTTCACGGTATATTATCTTGTAACAGTTATTAGTCGCTCGAGTAAACTACTTGGCCTTCGCCGTCTTCTAATTATCGTGAGTCCCGGCAATGAGTACCTCAGCGAAACGGGTGTACTAATGAACTCAAAATAGTTGCTTACTTTCGAGCAGGTCGTCGCCGCAATATGCATCACTTCAGTTGCACGGCCATATACGCTGAGCCAATTGCCCGTTAAATCATCTCCGATGAATCGCATGGCAATCCGGATGGCTAAGTTGGTTTGACAACACAAGCAATTCGAAAGTTACAAGCACAATAAATTACACGTAAAACCTTGGTGGTTGCAAATATAGTGCGACGAATACCCTTGTTTAGCAGTGGCCAATATATAGGTGCACCTGTGTGTTTGTGTGTTTCAATAAGTTACTTTCCATAGTCGTAAACTATGGTTAAAACCTTCGTTAGAATCGCTGATAGTTTGGCCATCGCTAATGGAGAATTCACACTAACAATAAAAAGGCGATTAAGTGATATAAAATCGCAAGCGTTGAACTGCTCCCTCTGGTGACCAACGTGGGATCTGATGCATAGAACTGTCCTGTCCCATCTCACAGAATGACGTCGGTTCGATTGCGAATTCAGTGGTATCTGCTAAGTCCAGAAGGCAGATTACATGGGAATAAGTGGATGTCTCGCTTACCTGTCTGTGTAGCTGTCATTGTTTACTATGATACTCGATATTGTAAAACAACTTACTTGCATAACCATGACCGACGACAGTCTCTGTAAAAGAGTAAATATATCAGCTTTTCATCCAAAAAACCCTAATTCAAAAGGCAAATGAAAGTATGACATCTTGTTTGACCCATGTACTATTTACATTTTTCTGGATGCAATCAAATATAAGTAGATGACTTATAACCGTATAGTACATGGCAAATTGATCAATTCCGTCACTACTGACTGCAACAAAATTGTTTCACTAAAACAGCTAGAGTGGCAGAAGAAGCAAGGTTGTCAACAAATCATTGTAACCATTGTGACTAATTTACCGAATGGTCGTTGCAGGTTTAAGCTCGTGCTGTTCGCGTCAGTTCTCCGTCTTTCACATTCCGAAAACAATTCCTTTACAAACATGTGCACTTCAGCAGATCCTTTATTTTCTACATTGACAATAACATGAGTTTGATTGGGAAGTGCACTAAATGAAGAAAAACCACATCCGATCAATGCTTGTGGCACGCCTGTATTGGATGTAATGGAGGCCCGGAGCTGAAATCGCGTGATAAACAAAGTCTGTTAATGGGTGTTTGGTTTACTGTGAGCAGGTAGATCACACTTCATCAAGCATCGTCCAAAATTCCAGACATTATGTCGCCATATGTGTCACAATGAAACACAAACCATAATAATACAGAAAAAGCATCATCACAGATTGTTTCTCTGTTGATGCCATTAATATTCGCGGCTAGAAAAGAAATAAATGCAATAATGTTTACCTTGATGCAGATATCTTCATAATGTCTGCATGTCGGATTGTCTTCCAATTCCTTTTTACTTGTAAATAGCACAGGGTTTCCATCTTTCAATAATGCTCCTGATATTATTACGACTGTTAGGATAGGCATAAATGAAGCACATATTACAAAGTTGACAAAACCCTTAGGTAATCTTGCAGACAAGACTTGGTTCTTTAGGCCAACAAATTGTTCACTGGTCATTCTGCTTTTACTTTACAAGATTGGCTGTATTTTACATGAAATTGTGAAGTAAATAATAGCGTAGACATGACGGACGCAATGGGGAATTTGCAATCAGCAATGGGTCTGTAACGATCAATTTAAGATATCCAGTTCATCAATATGAACTTACCATATAGATGCTTTAGTTCGCTTTGCGCAAACGCAATTGCTGTTGAATAAAAGAGGTTGCTTTCATGAAGAATGCGTTAAGAAATCATTTGTCACACAAGGTGCTTCTGAAGTGCGTTAATCTAGAATGTCTAACTACGTGGCTTTGGACCAAGTATCAGTTTCGCTATTCGGTGCATTTTGAATAGCATGCACCCGTATGTGTAGGAATTTCGACTAGCCTCGTAAATGTTTCGGCAATGGGCAGTTCATTGATGTGTTGTTACGCATGTAAGCGCCGTGTACTCAAGCTGTCAGACACAAAACCTCACGGAATTGCACAACTGATTCTAAGACTCCCTATGTGTTTGATTCAGAAGAAACTTAAGTGCCAAATGTCTCAAGTAAGCTTTGGTTAGACATTATTTTTCCTCCGCATTGATTGCATGTGTGGCATCTTTTGTGATCGGCACATGACCTAATCGGATTAATCAGTTGTTTGAGTTTAAACTGTTGATGAGAGGAATGTAATTCAATAAAAATATATATGTTTGCCTAATACATAAAACAAGCTGAAGCTTTTCTCAAAGGTTCCAGTATGGTAATGAAAAAATCAGCTAATGCTGATTAAGCCTAGTAGTCTGGTACCTACTGAACCGGATAAGATTATACTCATAGACAAACCAATTCCGTGGTGAAATGCAATCACTGAATAATCATCGTTTGAAGATAATGTGCAGGGTTATCTCGAGACTTACCAAGCATTAGTAAGCATTTTGACGTGAACATCACAGCGATTTGGCGATCTATCATTTTGATGTGCATCTAACTTATGTACGCGCCACATTGCTCTTTCCAGACAGGGGGCTTTTCTAGCTAGAGGACAAGTGTGTTGCATACATGAGAATTTGTTTGCGACCTCTGCACTGATTGGGTAGCCGAAAATCACTAATTGGTGCACCCGCATGCGAAACGTCAATTTGATTGACAGTGCAGGAATTGTGAAGCTTAGTGGTGTTGAACAGAACATAAGGCGGTTCGTAACCATCAGGTTGGTCCAATTCCGCTGAACGATGAGTGTCCTTCCGTAACAGCTACACATGCATTTGCCAGGCAATAGCAATTTCGGGAGATGTGTGAGTTGTGATTATGCCTTGGCCTTGAGAAAAACCATGCTTCATGTTAAAGAACTGCTGATTATTCCTTTCAGCACAATTGCTGGCTACTTGTTGGCCGACGCTAATGTCCCTCTAATAGTTCCCATATTATCCAAAAGATGAAATCGGAGTAAAATTGGGGTATAACAGTTTGATGGTAGAACATGGAACTGCATGCATATATTATACATTACTACTAAAAGTTGAGTTATCGGCGCTGGCATCCACACCGAACATTGCACCAACGCAAAGCTCTGTGAAGAAGTACCAGGTAAGATACAGTTCGATGCCTGAGCCTTGCCCTAGATAACGAGAACTGGCAAGTGCCTAAGCTCGATCTGCGTCTGATTGCCAAACCATGTTTATTTTACATTCCGCTGCTCACTGCGGTTTTCAAAAAATCCAAGCAGCGCTTCTTAATCCATCGATCAACGAAACCTCCTCCGTGTGACACATTTTCCGTCGTCGATTCATTCAAGATTTCTCATCAGCATTCTTAGTGACAATTGCCCCGTTGAAGTCACCCGGGGATCAAATGCGTCCTACCGTCTATATGCTGTAAATCATACTCGTAATTGCGTGCAGTTGTGACAAACATAAGCGCCTGTGTACTTCAGCGCACGGATAATAGGGTTCATGATTTTTTGCATGCTTTAGGTACAGTAATTTGCAAACCAATAGCATACATTGTAAAAACACGTTGTTTCGTTAAAAAGCAGGATTGTTGATTTGTTTCTTCGTCACAATGAATAAACATTTGAATAATACCATAGTATATTTTCCACTTTGATTTGGCTTGACCCTGGGGTTCCGCGTAAATATTACAGACCCCTGACATGTTTGGATGACCGGCGTTGGGGTATCTCCAACGTTATCGGATCTCTCTTCAGCCATGGCTGCCAAATCTGCATTGCGTATTCCTCATTTGACCGTATGTATGAGCCGGGTGTTTGTGATTAGCAAATGATCGAATCGTCCGAATGCACGCTTTAGGAAGCCCACATTTGGACGCGGTTTCAGCCTGCTTCTAAGTTTTAAGGTCGACATGAACCAAATATTTCAGATACTTCTCGCTAGAAGACGGTTGAAGCCCCGGTTTGCCGTAAGTGCAGCACTTTACATATGTGTACATTGGATGGAGGAGGATCACCAATACAATGTTGTGCAGTTTGATGTGCAAAATGTTATTGTCTAACCGGTCGAACACCTTTAGGAAGTCGAGAAAGCGAACACCAACTTCTATATCAGAATTTACTGTTTCAGTCTAGCTGGATCGTGCTAGTAGTAGATTTGTAATGCACGGTCGAGTACGTCTGAAGCCGTGCATTTTCGGTACGAGGTAGTTAAATTATTCTAAGTAGGCCTCTAGCGCATCAGTAATAAAAGCTTTCATGACCTTTGAAATGAACGGTAGTAAGGTTATGGAACGGTAGTTGGCTAAATTGGAACGGCCATCTCCATTGGGAATAGGAGTAGGCATACCGTTTTTTCACATGTCGAGCAAGTACATTTCGTCAAGACAGTTTAGGGAAAATCGAGTCACATGCTCAGCTAAACGCTGTCCCATTGTGTTTAGAGATTTCATGTTTATATCATCAATACCAGGAGAGTCGTGCTTGCACATGCTCAACAAACTTTCATTGTAGCATTTTTGTGAAGGACATGTAAGTAAATTTTTGGGTAAAACCACCATCGGCATAAAGTTGGGTGGAGAGTGCTCGAACTGAAATGTTGCAGCATATTTTAGGCGCAGGGTATTCGTTGCCTCCATCGGCGTCCGTGTGTAACCGTCTGCTGTTTGAAGAGGAGGAATATACAATTTTACCTCACATAGACTATTGAGTTGTTGATACAGAAGATTGTGGTTTGAGGCCATACGCACAGCGAACTTCTGCTTGTACGCCAGTCTGTCCTCGCGAACAAGCTGAGTACATTGGTTACGTTGGGTCGCCTAGGCCTACCAGTTCTCGGTGCTCGATGAGGTTTATTATACATACCAGACTGTGTTGCTTACCTCTTTACACATGTTTTTCCAAGTATTAGTAATAATACCAGATATTTTGGCTAGAAAATCTTAGTCGCCGACGATTCGGCATCCAGGGAGTTAAACTAACTGACGAATTCTTCCCATGCACCCCACATGATGCCTTGTCTGCCAGGAACGTCCAGTTGGCTGTCTCAGCTGGTCCAGCTAATATTTCGTAGCGAACATAGTTTCTCGTTGCCTCGGCAATTTCCATAGGATATTCTGCTCTGCAACTGTTTTCGAAGAGTAGTACTGCTTGATCGCTGCGGCTCAATGGGAGGTCGACGATCACCCACTCGACCATAAGTTGGTGAAAATCCGATGCGGTATCGAGAAATCTTTTTCTCTGGAGCAGGTGGGAGTGTTGATGTGGTAATAATGCGGGTAACAGCGGCTCTTGTAGATCGGACTTAAACTGTTATTTGGAAGCTGCTTGTGATTCCAAAGCGTGGATGTTTTTATGATTAATGTGTATTTGACTGCAAGTTGTATTTATCATCGTCATCCAAACCGATGCCAGATGGGAGAAAAGCTCTTGCGTGGAGGAAAGAGGACGGTAAATGAATGCCACAAGACAACTATCGTCGCCTTTTTAACGTAGACGGTACCAAAGGGAATTGTGTATTTTTTCGACCGGTTCCTCTCTAAGCTCACATTGGAGGTCATTGCGGATATAGAGAGTCACCCTTCCTCCTTTGTTGGGACGGTCATGCGGTACAATGGACATGCCTGACAGTGCGATCTCCAAGTCAATTTTGTCAGGAAGTAACCACGTCTCCGTTATGGCAATGAAGTCGCAGGATTCTGATCCTTGACTCAGTCGCATTTCGGAAGATTTACTTAGTAAGCCTTTGTCGTTGGCGTACATATAGGAAAGCTTAAAGGATAGCAAAAGCCTTTGGAATAGTAGCACATGAATGTTGTGTATTTGTGCCGACCAGTGAGAGGCAGGCACCGAATCGTTTTTTATGTGTGAACTACCAAATCTCGAATAGAGTGCAATCTGTTTTTGGTCTCACTTGCACCTGAGGGACTTAGTCCACGAGCAGCCTTCCCGTTATGTACGAGATTTAGAGCAAAAGTTTCAATCGCTGTTGTGGTTAGATTGGACCTCAGATGTTGTCGTTTCCCCGAGAACAGCGAGTTGGTTCGGCTATCGAAATGCTGTCTTCAGTATTAGTTCCAATGAAGTGTGTAGCGAAGTAAATGTCAGCTATTGAGTTAGTTCACGACAATTTGTTGTGACTATCTAGTTAGTTTCAGTATCCTTCGGCTACTGCCTCCCTTTAATTTAGTGGCAAGGGTAACCATGTAATCAACTGAAGTATGACATCGCTCGTTTAGAAAGCTCCACGGATACAACTCTATTGTACCTGGTCATGAGCAAAGCTTCTTTGTTGCTAATTATTAATAGCTCGGACACGCCACTAGGACACGCTACTCTCCGTGTGGTGGTCTTTTGGATTATTTTTGATTCGGTGGTTTTGGCTCCATGGAACATCCGGAAATATGCGCAATCCTCCTCTTTCAGTCCGCAGGCGGAATGCCGAAAAGAGCACCGTGTCCACATCATCAATCAATCACAATGTTACTCGCAATAGCCGGGGCTTACATAAGGACTCGAGGTTAGATGTCTAGTGATGCGCATTACATTAGTGGGACAATTTTAAACCCCGGATTTATCACAAAGGAATAACATTTATTTAAATTATCCAGCTGTTTATCGTTTAAGTAGTTCGCCTGGACTCAGGAACCTTGATGCACAGAAATGTCAAGACATCGTAGGATCGCCTGGTTTCCAATGATGCGGGATCCACCGTCATCGAGGGATTAGTGACGTCTCTGCATGCTGCATCTGTTCCTTGACCCGCTTTGCAGCTGTAGATGGTGGGGCTAGGCATACCTTTATCGTTCTCGATGACGACTTTTTTCGTGTTTACTGTTTCTAATACTGTGGAGCAGTGTGAAAGCGGGACACTTTTTCTTGATTTTGAAGCAGAAATTAAGGGAGACGGATGAGGCGCAAGATGCGCTAATATCGCCTCGAACGAAGCAATGTTTGCATTCAAACCATGTTCAGTTTTGGCTACTTGGCTGTTGTACTGTTGTGTCAAAGCTAGTAGGCATTTATTATAGGAAACCTCGTGCACTTTGAAAAAAACCAAAATGAACCCGGCGTGTTGTATTTCTTTATAGTGGTTCTGCAGACCATGAAGCACTTCGTATGGTACCGGACTTGACAAGTTATACAAGTCAACCCTCCTTTGACTACATTATCACTAGGTTGCTTGACGCAAAATACTCCGTTTTGGGTTACCGACGTGGTGGTCATGACCGATTACAGTAGAAAAATCCAAGATGGCGGACACAGACGGCAGTTGTGCCAATCAATGAGCATTCCAAAATGAACCAAAGAACATCAATTTTCTACGGATTAGAAAATATACCAGAAAGTCAATTCTGGCGCACAAGCCACCCATAATAACCACGTATAACAGAGTATCCAAGAATAAGAGTGTTATTCAGCACAATAATTCAATAATCCGCGGCGTCCCTGGGTACAATCATGGGCTAGAACAGTGGAGATTTTTTGAAATTTACATCCCGCTTTTTAAAGGTATTAGTTTTGAATGCCAAACCAGGGAAACAGGTAGAATGCAGAGCGACTGTTGGATATATATATATAATTAGCAAACCGATATCCAGAAACAATACTCGGATAGTATTATCCACTGGAAATAATTTGCAATTGAATTCTCGCAAGACTGCTACGATTCACCTTATTTTGTTTTAACAAGCAGCTTTTCTAAATGTCAGTGTATTCCTTTAGATATAATTTTCTTCGCACTGGAACCGTGGGCTTTTTATTTCAAAATACTCATCTAGCTATTTTGTGTTATCTATAGTTCCGGTGTGAACAAACTTTCTGGACTAATTTACAAAAGAATGTTAAGCCTATCTTTATGTATCTTAATAATAATGGTTACATGTTTATTAATTAAGAAGGCGCGAAGTAGTTTGCATTTGAGAAGAGCTTGATGAGAGCCTTGAAAATTTGCAGCGCACTTCTTCTGCACAGATATAGTCCTTTTCCTGATGCTAGTGAATATACTCGAGTAATACTCTAGCACAGGGCAAATTCAGAGCATAGACAAGGAAAACATAGAGGCATGCATCGCTAATGTATCTACGCTAATTGTATCTACGTACATCGCAACACCAACTACGCCGTGCAAACTTGGTGAGATTCGTGATAGCATGACTGCAAAATTCGAGACTCCAAAATGTCAAGGAAGATGAAGGTAATGAGGATTTGCTCCGCCCTACTTACCATGAATGCATGGAAAAAATTTCGGTGTTCAGTTCACTCTGCCTGCGGTTACGTGAAGAAGTCATCGTGAGATACCTATTGAAATTGTACTGTTCAGACGTAAAGGCTCAAGGGCTATTTGTTATGGGAGGGGAAATTGTGACACCTCTGTCATTCTGCACAATGCACCTGGTGCACTCCAAAGCATAATCAATTTGAGAAATGCTTTCTGACAGTACGAATCGTTAAATCAAATGGAACCGAGCCATTAGACAAGATGGTTGCATGGCTATAAATTCATTGTACGGTGGTCTAGTAAAATTAGGACCGCAAGAATGAATCTGTGGGTATCCATCCTGTTGTTTCTCGCCCTCGAATGCAGTGCCATTACGGACCTGCAGAAGGCTAAGCTTTGAATTGACCATGGGGCGGGATAGAATTGCAGAATTATTTGCTCTGTGCATAGTTAGATGGGTTCAAATACTTTGATTCTTCTAATTTGTCAAGATAAAGCAAACGTATTGGCAGGTCACCTTAGAGCATCTGTGCCCACTAACGTAATTTAGTGATCGCTTTGCGTACTTTAATTAGGAAGAAGAAACAGCATTACCTGTGTAAAAATCCGAATCATACAACTGTATACAATCGAATCTCCCTTATGGATAGCAACTAAAGTAATTTGCTCATATCAGTTGAAAAGCTCTGAGTAAGCAACTTGTTGCAACCTATAAAAGCAAAACTCATGAACTCTGATGCTGCGACGATATAGCCCATATTATGAAACTTGTTAGTGTAGGATCCGTATTCTCAAAACATGCATACTTGACTATAAACGCAGATGCAGTATATGTGTCACAGACTAAAGTATAACAAACAAATAATTGCGTACTAGACTTGGCTTCGGACCTCAAGTGTGATGCGGCACCAGCCTGGGACATTTGTCATGTAGATAAGTAGATAGGTATTAGTTTGCAGAAACATTTGCTACGGAGCATAGTTAAAAGTTAGCAAAATGTTCGACTCCTATTCACTCTCAGAATAATTCTTAGACAACAATAGTCACTGAAGAGACAACCAATTGCTCGGAGACCAATGGATATTTTCGAAGAACGCATGATCACAGTACACTGTCAAGCCGTCCATTGTACATTAATTTTGTTAGTGCCAAGTCCTGATTTACTGAAGTTTGTTAACTGAAATCTACCGCTATCGAATCACATTTCATCGCAGATCGTATGGGCGAATACGAAAGCGGTCGGCTGCGGTGTGACGAACTGCGCCGGCAAGCCAAACTTCCCATACGGCATGTATCTTGTGTGCAATTACGGGCCGGGGTAAGTGCAATATAATTTACTTAATTATTATTCATTGCTTTTCGATCTGCTCGCAGTGAATGACCATCAACATCCAGTGCACAATGAAGTGGTGTTTCTGTGGCATCTGTTCGTCCTGTGTACATCTCCTGATATTTTATCTTGTTTCACAGGGGGAACTACAACAACCAATATCCGTATGAGGCCGGCGATTGTGTTGGCCGTTAGTAAACTTGTGAGTACTTGACTAGACAATTATAGTTTTATACAACATTACACAGAGTTTGCTGCTTACCCGCTAGTCGTTGATGAGTATCCTTAGCCTCAGATACTAATTCAAATTTAAAAGTCGCATCAGTTGCCCAAAATGTATACAAAGCCATATTTGAAAGCAAATATGAACTATCCCTTTGTAAAAATACGGTATCTTTGTTTCATTTGCTTGCGTGAGTTTTGATTGAAATGGCGTTTTCTGCTGTAAATACAAGCGACAACAGGTCTACCGGTCTTACTGCGGAGTTTACACCGCTTGCGATCTGGTGATATGTACCAAGTGCTGGTGTATGAATTTCTTTGAATCTTACGAGGCGCTTATTTGAGGTGAGCTAAGCCTACTAATTTGCGATTTAAATTATCCTGCCAAACATTATATAGTCCAAATTTAAATAGACGAGCACATGTAGTTGTTGACTACATGCATTTTGCACAAAATTTATTGACCATTGTCTAGATCATGGTCCATTAAAATAGCAAAACATTTCTATTATTATTATTATGAGTAACAATTCAAATATGTAGCGATTCTAGTGCATTGAAGAGTAACATCAAAATGCTAATGTCCGAAAGTAACCAACGCCTGTCAATGAACCAACTATACTTTCGAACGCATGCACAAATCGATAAGATTGTATAAGACCTTTATTCAAGATTTTTAAGCAACAACAACTTTGCGAATACCTGCTTCGTTTTACCGTGCTTGCTTGTGCTTACAGAGAAGTATGTTAAACTTTTCATTTCCATTGCAGTCTCCGCTTACGCATGCCGGTTAGGACTACCTACTGCATCAGTTAGAAAACAACACTCGTTTGTGCTCTCTTATACTCAAAAATATATATCCAAAGAAAATACATCTGCTCTACATCGTCTGTCTTATCAGTTCTCTTCACTGGCCTGTAAATAAATTTAGGGAGATAAATCAACACTTTGCCCAAATGAGCGCTGAATTGGTCCGAGAGAACACAGCAATGATTGTAGCCCTCCCAGCGGAAATCGGATTTATTCCGCTTAGATTCATTCGTGTTCATTAACGTCAGGTCACATCAGAGATATTCCACTTGCTTCTTCGTCTAACTTGCTGAGTTATGGGTGGCAAGGATTATAAAGTATATTATCTAAGTATGTGACCCGCTGGAGTCTCTAGTACGATTTCACTCGAGCTATTGGCAATGGTTTCTATATGGACGTTGTACACTTGATGCAACCAAGTTTCCTTAACCAGGGGAATATGAAGATTTACTTGTAGCTTCACGAGACCCAATCATTATGAATCTGGGGAAGTTGATGTATCGTTGCCTACAATGCAGATGGTATATTGCAGACAAATGTGTGACACACAGATATTGGCTTAATTGAAAATCCCCATATAAGTGACAGAGAAGAACAAGACCGTTTCGTAAGCAAATGCTATCACTGATTCATCCTCAGACAACTACAAACATATACAGGGTAAAAACAGAGTAAACTCAGCCTCATCAGTACAAGTAACACAGAGTAAAGCCGAAACAGGTTAATCACATACGACGGAGTTTGAGCTCAGGCCGTTGTTATCAATATCCTCCGTTTTCGCATCTCATTGAAACTGATGAGCCTGGACCAGCTTATTTTGCCAGCATAACGAAGGCTGAAATATTCGCAGCAAACAACGTTGCCCGTCGCAAATGTATGAAGGCTTGACCATTTGATCGGTGCGAGGGAAAACTATCGTTATCACGGGAAATGTTGCGCTTCAGCAATCCAAAAATTCTCATTCGTTAGAATGAATAAAGGGAGGCAGAAAATGAGTGAAGAATACTTTTCGGTAATTCTCAACAGAATCAAACATTTGATGATGACGACGACAAAGTGCTAAATGTGCCGGATTGGGCTGCGTATTGACCAGAATGCTTAGTTTCAACAGGAAGAAGTCAATAAATCACGGGGTCATTGAAGTTGACAAAGTATGTACAGGGAAATTCACAGCCGAATTTGTAGGCCCAGGTAGAAGTAAGGGACCTACAAACTGTTTTTGTACACACAATTCTGGCTTGAGTTGGCGGATGTAGATAGCTTCCTCAATAGAGAGGAGATGCTTCCGGAATCCGCACGAGAAGCGTTCAGGGAAAGTATAGATGACTCTGAAATCGTTTTCTGTCCTTACGTGGCAACACTCCAGAGGGTGAGACAAGGTGGAGATGTTACCAGACCTCGCTTTTTCATTGTAAAACCATCTCTGGTTGTGTTCGCGGATCCTCTGAGATAGGCACCTCGTAGTACCACCCACACGGGACAAAATCACCAAAGAATTACAGAGGATGGGCGACGCGCTAACAGCGAATGGGTATCCAGATTAATTCATTCCCAAAGATTTGAAAGAACGCAGGATAAAACCACCGAGGATGAGCCTACCTAAGGAAGAGCTAATAGTGAAAGCTTTAAAGCGAAAGCTATAATTTGTACTAAATCATCGATAATCCATTGAAAGTTTTCGGGGGCATAATTGATTCCAAATGGTAAACAAGTGTTTTGCTAAAATCCTGTGCATGTAGTGGTAGTAGTAAGTTTTCGGGAAGGTTCATCGAGCACTATTTGTGAATATGCGTGACTAAGGTTAGATTTGGGAAATTTTTATTCACCTGCCAGTGTAAAATACAAGTTTTTGATGGGAGGTAATGGATACCTGACTATCATAGAAGACTGGTTGACAGTCATTTGGTATTCGCTAAAATTCGCAAGGAGCCATCCGCTTTGGCGAACGGTGCCATTAGTGCTCCACAGTTGGAAAATTGCGCAGGTATTAGAATGCCCTGAGTTTGTAAGCTGCTTAATTCTTCTTCGACTTTAGACCTTACAGCATATGGTAGTGTTCATGCTTTGATGAATATGGGCTGGACATTTCCTTCGATCTCGTTGTAGATTGAACTTTTTTCAGCTTCCCCTGCATGTACCCAAACGCGACGCAAAGATGTGAGTTGTGCGACGGTCTAAAGTGTCCGGTCTGCCAGACGTCAAAATGGATTCATGTTCCAGTGAATTATTGGGTATGCTGAGCTTCGGCAGGCAAACTTTATCCATTTCATTTTTTATAATGAAAACTAGAAATCGAATTGTGTGCGAAGAACTTCTTCCTTCCATGTTGCAGAGCTATGGCAGGTGCGCTGCACAAAAGTGAGCGGTCTGGTCGGTTGAGCTGCAATAACAATTACGGGTCGCCTGCGCGTGTAACACATTAGAATAACCACGCGAGATATACCCGCAGGTAATCAGCTCCCAGGCAGATACACTTTAGACTTTGGGTAGTGCACCTACCAAAGGCTTGAGCACTACATAGGTTAACTGAACTTTGAGACAACTTCACAGAACGTCTAGGGAGTATACTTGCCCACTGCTTTTGAACACCACCAGTCTATCAGATGCAAATGCATTGTTTCAGAGTGACGCAATAGTTTGCGGATTTCTAATGCACAGGACATGCGGCCAAGAACGGTAGCAAACTCGATCCTGCATAGTGGTTCCCCTAAGTGTTATAATTGCGATTAATGGGGCTTAGGATCGTCAGAACAAAGACCTACACCGCACCGGACAGTGTATGGACCAAATCTAAAGTCACATGGAACGGACAAGACGGCCGACTACAAAGGTTACGGTGTGAGTGTTTCGGACTGGAGGCGGCCTGATGGATATGAACCACAGTGAACCATCGTGTGAGAGTGGAGTTCACAGTCAGGTGTGTGGAACGACATTGTACATTTATGGTACCAAATTCCCTATTGTATCATCTCCCTCTTGGAAAACACGTTCTACAAACTCATACGAATGGAGCTCTGGGTTCACATATGTAAACGTTGCATAGGTTTAGTAGGCCGCATAGTTCGCTCAGTGACTCCATCGCATGGCTCTGCGCACGTCTCTATCGGTTCAACACGCCCCACAATGTTTGGTAGTTCAAACGGGTCAGCAATATATCAAACGGCAACTCGAAAGTATAAGTGATTGTTTATTCGATCCGTCGTTCGCATCGCTGATTAACGTGCCGTATGACAGACAACGTTCCGACAGACACAACATACAGCACAGAGCATTTTCTTAGTCGCGCCACTGCAGGTTGCCAGGTTTGGTAGTTCGGCTATGCATCCAACGCGTACACCGGCTCCCCTAATAGAAAACGTCTATTCACGCCTGACGCCAATATTAGTTAAGTAAACTTAAGGAGTACTGCATCAACTGGAGGACGTGTCTCACGCCTGAACATGGCTTCCGCCGGGGACCTCCCGCCTGGTAGTCTGGGGTTTCGCGTAGCCCAAATTACTTAACAAGAACAGCTGTATGATATCTACTCTGGGTCTTTCCTCACGCAGTTTTAGAAGTAAACGTTTGATGGTATCCACGAATCTTTCTGCTTACCCGTTGGACTGGGGATGCCCAGAGGACACCGGCAGTGTTTGATACAATAACACTGGCAAAAACATCAACATCCTCGGAGATAAATTACGAACCGTTATCGGAAACCAACGTGTTTGGAGAACCGATTATTGATTCTTTATCTTTACTCGTGCTCTTGTGATGCATAATACATGGATCATACTACGAGGCGCCTATCTCATGGGATCCGCGAACACATCCAGAGATGGTTTACAATGGCGAATCGAGGTCTAGTAACAGCTCCATCTTGTCTCACCTTCTAGAATGCAGTCAAGCAGGGACGGAAAACGACTTCATAGTCATCTATACTTTCCCTGAACGATTCTTGCTCGGATTCCGGAAGCATCTCCTACCTATTGCAAAAGCTATCCACATCTGCCAGTTCAAACCAGAATTGCGTGTACAAAAACAGTTTGTACGCCCCTTATTTCTACCGTGGCCTATAACTTCGGCTGAGATTTCCCCTGTAAATAATTTGTCACTTTCAATGACCCCGTGATTTATTGACTTCTTCCTGTTGAAACTAAACATTCTGATCAATACGCAGCCCAATCCGGCACATTTAGCACTTTGTCGACAGCACGTAATGTTTGAGTCTGATGAGAACTATCGAAAATAATTTTCACTCAGATCCTCCCTTCCTTGATGAAACATTGCATAGTACTTGAATGGCAAGCTTTAGATTCACCTGATTCCAACGGTCGACGATATGAGCCAGAATTGAGCTGCTAATGCTCCCTGTGCTACCTTGATTCTACCAACGTGGGCAGTGTTCATTCACGCGTTTGAACAAATGCCCTGCCGTTAAACCGTTAACCGTAGCGCCCCGGACGCGCCCGAACTGATAAACCAACATTGAGCACGTATGCATGGGCAACCTATCCACGTTTCGTAAATGGATAAGTGCTTCCATTAAAAGCACACGCTTTAGCGCATCTGCTGCAAAGGTCGCATTAAGTGCACCCGAAGAACTTCGAGTTACACGCTCAGTAACTGCGACCCTTTTGAAAGATAGTCCTATGAATAGCTCTTTCTTTGCAGCTGTTAACATTGGCAGCTGTTTAGGCTTTTCTCCAAGGTTGCATTAAATAAATATCGGGTATCCATTTGCGCGCAACGTAACATGAGATTTAACGGCCATAATCATCCGCTCTCCAAACACACTGGCCAATAGCAGTTGAGTAAACTTATTGAGTACCGCATCAACTGGAGGACGTGTCTCACGCCTGAACATGGCTTCCGCCGGGGACCTCCCGCCTGGTAGTCCGAGGTTTCGCGTAGCCCAAATTACTTCACAAGAACAGCTGTATGATATCTACTCTGGGTCCTTTCCCCCGCAGTTTTAGAAGTAAACGTTTGATGGTATCCACGA